GGAACGTTTGATTTTTATTTGTTAACTAAAAGGGTAATATTGTCTTTTTAACACAAACAAGTTTTGTAATTGTTTTTGTCATTTAAGGGTGTTGTGGTCTTTTTATAGCAAATGGGTCATTTTGGTATTATTGTCTATTGGAAAAGTCAAAGTGGAATTAGGGTCCTTTGACTGGTCATTTTAACAAGTACCCCGTGGCTGGGCCGGCCCTAATAAGGTGGGCTTATATCTATGAAGAAATCTATTTGGGCGGGCTCACGTTCTTCTATGACCCGGTGACAACTGGTTAATTCATAATTTTCAAAAAATTCTCCTCGCGTTTTAATTCATTTCTCTACTTGTACGTTTGCCAATTATTGAAAACCGCATCCTGTGCTGAAGTTTGGATTATAAATTCGATATCTGAAACATAATCTGGTGAGCTGAGAAATTTTAGGGTTCGATTAATCGAGTTTGCATTTTTCATACTGATATCTTTTTACATGTTTAATTAGTTGTTATTTTCAGCACAAATTTGACTGTAGTTACGATCTGATCCCAAATTACAATTCTGTACCTCACCAAACGATCAGAAATAGCGAGTGAATTCAATGATACTGTTGCAGTCGCCCTCCAGATATCTCCTTCAAATCTTGTCGACTCGGGTTCAGAAGTGAGTTCCTGACTTTTTCCTCTTCATTATTTTTTCCCCTCTTTCTTTAGCACTATCTCTTTATTATAATTTCATATTAACTTTCATTTTCTCGTGCAATATAAATGTAAAGGTAATCTTTTGAAATTTAGACCGTTTCTATGGTTATTTTATGGAGTATGATGTATCTTTTCCACATACTAAAATCATTTATATAGCGCGATACCAAGTTACCAACAGATGTTAATGGTAGGTTGAACTGGGTTTAGAAAATCTGGTGTCTTTGTGGGACCTAATTTACGTTTTCACTTGTTTCGCACTTGAATGATTTTATGGGTTTATGACACAAAAGTTGGTATATTATGTTGCCATTTTTTTTTTTTGTAAATTAGATTATGTGATGGGTCCTAAATGTAAGTTGTTTGTGTTTTTGGAACAAATATGTATGCCAGTACATGCATTACTTGCGTGATCTTTAACATATTTACTTGTCGTCAATAACAAGCTTATAAAATTTTATTGGTGGTTGTGCAGTCTTGAGAAAGGAGTTGAATTGGACTGTCAGTGGATTGAATTCGATGATGTCCGTTACCATATTCAGGTGATTCATTAGCTTTTAATGTGATTATTTCGAGCAGTGTTTACCGTAGGATGTTATTTTATCCTTTGACCTGCATTGAAGGGCTGCAAACTTCCCTAATCTGATTCCGTAAACTCTTTTATAGGCTACTATGAAGAATCCAAATCTCTTAGTGCTATCAGTATCATTACCTACACCACCTCCAGAAACTGTATTTTTTGGGGGACTTCCTCCAGAAGCAATAGAAGCCATAAAGGCAGCATATGGAACGGTTGTGCACATTCTTGATCCTCCAAAGGATGGTTTCAATCTCACGGTGAAACTGAACCTGTCAAAACTTCCTCCAGATGAAGGTTCAACTGAGTTACCCTTTTAAGGTCATTATGAGCTCACCATGATTATTCAGACAGATAAATAATCCATCTTTTGAAAAAGAATCACAGACTTTCTTTGCTTTATTTCCTCTTTCTGGTCCTTCTATCAAATTTAACTACCAATTGTTTCGACTGTTTGTCTTGAACATTTGTCCATTTACTAATATTTTTATTATTACAATTTGTGGTAGAAGTTATTTTATTATGGATACCCGTAGGAAACTTTGCTCAGCGAGAATACTGTGGAGTTAACTTTCAGACTTTTGAGTATAACGTGAAATGCATGTTTTGATATTTTCTAATTCTTGCAACAAGATGGTAAGCATTATTTTCCATCTAACGAAAATTGAGAAGGGCCGTTGAAGCAGAATTTTAGCACGTAAACACATAGTGAATCCTCTAAGTTGATATGAGTTTAGTACATTGAAAAACCTCTAAATATAATGTCGCAGTATACTGAAACAGTGAATCCAACTAGGACACAAACATAGCCAGTTAGAACGGTTCCAACTTCCAAAATTCACAAATATTATAGATGGTTACTTATTTCTTTTCTGCAAGTTGTTTGATGGTGATATATTGCTCAGATCATGGTTTAAAAAGGCGGTAGTAAGGCGCGCACCTCATTTAAAATTTGATTTTTCAATTGTATGAAAAGAAATCAAAAAGGGCCATTCTTAAAAAAGAAAATGGCCCATTTAAAAAGGCATTTTGGACCCAAACAAAACAATAAAATACCTAGAAAACTAAACGGCAGCCAGAAATTAGAGGACCAAAAAGGAACACATTCAACAGAAATTCAAAAGTCAGAAGTTGAGAGTAGGGAAGAGGAAGATGATGGGGAAATTA